CCTTTGTTGCAAAACTTGAAAGATATTGGTTTTACCTGTTTTTGCAGATGATATAGTATCACGCTTTACACATGAAATTAATAATTGGATAACAGTAGATGAGAAATCTGAAGAATTTCAACATTTAATCCATAATCTATCTCTTCCAACTAATCTGCTGCGTAAAGATTGGCGTAGTTTCGACGGTGAAAGTAGCGAAAATATTTGCATAATATGTAAGTCTATCCTAGATACTTTTATAGAATATCGTAGACAGGGCATGTCAACAGAAGATATAAAGAGTAAAGTGATTAAAATTTGTACTCTACTGAAATTGCAATCTCCACAAGTCTGCGATGGTGCGATAACTATCAATTTGGTAAGTAATTTAAATTGTTATACAAATTAAATTAAATTAAATTAAAAATTTTTTATTATAATATCAATATGCAAAAATTTCTTCATAGCAATGTAATATTTTTAATATCAACTATTTTTAATATACTCAATATCAGAGTTGGATAGTAATTAGTTAAAACGTTAACAGTTAAAAAGTTAATAACTTTTAATTTAACTTAATTTTAAATGCATTAATTGTTAACTTAATAAGAATCACACCATACGGTAGCCAGTTTTTATTGACTCGCTAGGTTTTATTAATTCCCGCTTATATTTGAATCACACTAATTTTAGGTATCATAAATGTTATATTTCAGCATAAATTTCAACATAAATATGAAATGAACCTTAGATGAAGAATTGTTGTAGAACAGTCGATCCAAGCACATCGACCCATTTTCTAAATTTTTACATTTACTTTGTAATAAATATCTAGTCGATGTAGTCGTAAACACGCATGAGCAATCGTTTTAAAAGTTAAAGAAAATTAGGTAAAGGTTAAAGAAAGAGAAATAATGCAAACATATACCCTTCTCTCTTGCAAGATTTTACAAAACGCCTTACAGTGCGATTCTTATTATATATAAGTAACTTATACATGTGAATATAAAATTAAATTTACCTAATAATCTATATTTGTAAGTATTATTTAAAGTAATCTCATTATAAGAAAAATTAGAACATTCCGATCTGAAAAATAATTCTTTTTTTAATTAACTTTTTTTTTAACTTAAGTTAATTCAATATTAATTTAACTTTTACTAAATTAATTCTTTATTCCTTCAACTTTTAACTTAATTTTATTAATTTTATAAACCATTAACTTTAACTTAATTTAATTTAAAAAAAACATTAACTTACCCAACTCTGCTCAATATACTATCCCTGATAAAAAAAACAAGATGACAGAAAACAACAGTAAGATTTCTATCTTATCGGATTTTATCGAGTTCTATAAGATTTATATAAGATTTTTGTAAGATTCGATTCAAATTAATGAACGAAGATTACACATTCAAAACGATAAGATTTTTCGAGCGTTTCGAGCATTAAACTGTTCTTTTTACTATGGATCTGAACGTTTTATTTGCAGCCAATAATTTTGCATATCATAGATTCAAAGCCTAATCTAACGGCAGATACAATTTGCGGAGTTTTACTAGAATCACCGTTTTGTCCACTTAATAATAACGAGTTTAATTGGACAGTTAATATTGATGACGGTCCTCCAAAATGGATTAAACCGGAAGAGAGTAATGAAACCATAAATATATTGCAAATAACAGATATTCATTACGATCCTAACTATGAACCTTATGGTAATGCATATTGCAATGAACCAACTTGTTGCCGAAAAGGACAAAACGATACAAATACAAGTGGCAAGGTGGCAGGCTATTGGGGAGATTATAATTATTGCGACAGTCCGTGGCATGTCGTTGTTGACGTCCTAGATCACGTTATAACTGAACATAAAGTATGCGAGAATCTACATATTACTATATTATTATTTATAATTCTTCAAAACCGCAAGTTATTTTAGAGAATATTAATTAATTAATTTGTAGAATATTTCCTATGTTTACTTCACTGGTGACATAATAGACCACGGTGTTTGGGAGACTAGTATCGAGGGAAATGTAGAAAGTCTAAACAAAAGCTATCTTCAAATTTATGAAACGTTCAAAAATATTCCTGTATATCCTATTCTGGGTAATCACGAGCCTCATCCTGTAAATCAGTAAGCTATCAAAAAAATGTTTTAATATAAATATACCATATGTGATTAATATGTACATATATATACTCCCGTATTTGGTATTAACACATATAGTATTGAACAATTCTTTTAGATTTGCACCTAGGACTATTACTAATGATGAAATAAGCACGCAATGGTTGTATAAACTGATGGCTGATTTATGGATTAATTTCGGGTGGTTATCGGAATCTACACGTTCTACCATTCTACAAGGCGGATTTTATACGGTTTCGCCTAAAAAAGGATTTAGAATTATAGTTTTGAACAATAACGTGTGTTATAGCTACAACTGGTGAGCATATTAAATCAGTTTTTTAATAAAGATACAAGTACTTTATTTGTAGATTGCAATATCGTGTAATTAACGTTATCAATATAAGAGCCAATAAATATTGTGAATTATCTTATGTATCACAATATATTGTCGCGTTGATATAAAAGTATTTATTGACTGATATCTCCGAAAGCGAAAATATTATTAATAATAAGATAAGAGAGTCTACATAGTAGATCAATCAATGAGTTATGATATTGCAATCTATAAATAAAATAAAAATTATTTGCACAATTAGGACTGCCACAGAAAATAAATTTTAAAATTTCCGGACTTTTCCAGATTTTCCAAATAAAAATGGAAAATTTTCCAATATAAAATATGTAAATTTTAACACATTTAAAGTCAAGAATTGTAGGAAAGCTAGCATATATTATTAAAAACAAAGCAAAAAAAATTAGTAGCACACTAAAATTTTGAGCGCAAATTCAAGTAAAAAAAAAAGAATGCAGTTTTGAAAAAGGGCGATTAAATAAAAATACTGAATAAAATTTAAATTTTAATTATTTTATTAAAACCGTTTAAAGTGTGCAATTTTTGAACCTATTTCACTATAAACGTCAGATATAGTATTGAAAAATTATAACAATTATCTAGAATAGGAGCAGTTTAAGGAAATTGTGAGCAAATTTTCATAATTTCACTTTTTTATATTTTTTCCTGACTTTTCCCGGTTTTCCAGGTCTGTGGCAACCCTGACAATACAAATGAAAGAACTAATATTTTTAAGATAATAAAAAAATAATTGATAAAAGAATGATTAATATATTGTTGTGAAAAACGATACATTTGTCAATACATGGAAGTGTCATTATTTCTGACAAATAATTCTTTTCAAATTTTGAAAACTTACGTAAGAAATAAGCGATAACAAGAGAAAAGTATCAAGGCACTTCGGAATTTGAACCAAGGCCTGGTCTTCTCCACTTGGTAGATTTCCATCCTGCCACATAGTACATAGCCCTAACACTGATAGTTAACCCTCCTCTGTTTTACCCTTTTTCTTCTAAATTTCTTACACTTATGATATAGTTTTAAAGAATACATTATAATTGAGTGTTTAGGTTTAGATAACAGTAACTTTTTGATAATGGAGTTTTAATTAACGTAAGGTATAGATGGGTGTGTGTGACTTGCAAGTGAAATTATAAATAAAGTTCCTTTTCCTGTAAGAGGAAGTAAACTTTCTTCTATTGAAGGTACAACATGGAAAAAATGAAGTTATGTATGTTACCCTAATTAGCACGTTCCAATTCGGAAAAAATGTTAAAAATGCTGTATTGAAAAATTACTATTTTTTATTATCAATGCAATATAGTAATATACATAATTGGTCTCTTCAATATTTATTGTGCTAACTCTTTTTACATTATCATATATGTATTTAAAATGCAGGAAGTATATAAATTAAATATTTTACTTTATGCGGTTTTGTATAGAATCATTTCTACAGGTGGCTATTATATCAACCGCAAGATCCTGATGGTCAGTTGCAATGGTTGGCGGATACACTTTTGCAAGCTGAAGTGGATAAAGAGTATGTGCACATATTAGCACACCTTCCTCCTAATAATACGGATTGTCAAACTACGTGGAAAAGAGAATATCTCAAAATTGTCAATAGATTTGCCCACATTATTAGAGCTCAATTCAACGGCCATACGCACAAAGATGAATTACAGCTGATTTATGACAGTGATGATAACAGCAAGATTAGTAACGTCGCTTGGAACGGTGGTAGCGTAACTACTTACGAGAATGTAAATCCCAACTATAAGCTTTATACTATTGACAACAAAAATTACGTAAGTATTGCATTGTTCCGGTAAAATACACGTTTCAATAAAATGTACATTTACACGATCGGCTAAATTCTATTATAGGAAGTCAAAGATTTCGAGAATTGGATATACAATTTGACTTTAGCGAACATTAAATCTGACCAACGGCCGTTATGGTATAAGTCATACTCGTTTAAAGAGGAATATGGACTTTCCGACTTGACGTACGATTCGTTACAAACTTGGTTGTTTAAACTAATGAATGACGAGAATCTGCTAAATCGTTACTACAGGTAATGTGTAGAGAATTGTGAATTATCGTGTCTGCCCAGTGTTCTATCTCATCTAACAATAATTGATTCAGGAACTATTTTAAACAAGCTGAACCATCACTGACGAAGGAATGCGATGCAAAATGCATGAGAGCTTTCATATGCCATGTAATTGTGAGCCTAGGAGATCACGAAATTAAATGTGATAATTAGTAGTCTTGAATTTACATTTGACCAAATTTAATTTAATGCATCATTAATGTAAAATGTTTAGTGAAAAGCATTTTAATTTAGAGAAAACGTTATACACGAAAACGTTACTTCACGAAAAAGTTATATTTTACTATATTATTATATTTATTACTATATTTTTACAATAGCTTTTCATAACATTATGTATTTACAAAAATGTATGTATTTACATAATATTTCATTATCTGTTAATTTCGTCTGCTAATTTTAATTATTGTTGATGCTTACATTAATTTTTTATGTCTATTAATTTTAAAATAGGTTTTCTTAAAATTTCTTCATTTGGTAAACTGTCAAACAAACAAATCTGGAAAGCGAACAAGTGAAAAAGAAATTACTTTTTAAATAATATATAACTTAAATAATATATAAAAACTGCGTCAAGTTAACTTTAACAAGTTATCTTACGCCGATATTATGGAATAAAATATAGAATATAGTTATGCATTATTTCCTAAAGTTTTACCTGTTTCCTAACATAAATCAGAAGTGTTTCAATGTGTTCCGGATTGTTGCATTCCAACTGAAAGAATCGTCTCCATAATGCTCCTGCTAATACTTTGTCATCAGATTGTATGCCCTCGTCATAACCTATTATGGCAGCATTGAATTGATGTGATATTTCCTGTATTTGTTTATTTTTGAGTTTGGTTTTGATTGGCTGCAATAATATAACAATTATAAGTATATAAGTACATATACATTGTATAGGGTATTCAGAAAATTGCGAATCGAAATATCACAGCATGAAAGTTTTGGAAAAATTAAGAAAAAAGTTATATGTAAATTTTTATTGTAAGCAGTAGATTTTAATACAGGAAGGTTTAATTGTAGCCAATAATCGTCACGTAACCATCTAACGTAGCCCTATCTAAACATATAGTCTGTAATTGTACATATAAAACTCTTAAAACTCTTCATCCTTAAACTCTTTATCTTTACTTAACCCACAAATAAATTATAACTTTTATTTAAAATAAAAATTTACAAATAACTGTTTCAATTAATTTTTTGAAAACTTTTTTACTGTGGTATTTTGATTCGTAAATTTTAGGACATTCTGTATATATCAGGATTGGAAAAAACCCGGGTTTTTTTTTAAAAAAGCTCAGCTAGTTTTTTAAGGGGTTTTTTGTATTTTTTTTTTTTTTTTTTTTTTTTTTT